TAGCTGGGATTACAGGCATGTGCCAACACGCCTGGTGAATTTTTATATTTTTAGTTAGAGACAGGGTTTTGCCATTTGGGCCAGGCTGGTCTCATACTCCTGACCTCAAGTGATCCGCCTGCCTCAGCCTTCCAAAGTGCTGGGATTACAAGCGTGAGCCACTGAGCCTGGCCTCTCTAATTGTTTTTATAATTATAATGCCATGACACAACTGTAAGTTGACTTCAAGACATTCCACTTCTTCCAATCCTGGTTCCTTCTTTAATGTGGATAAGACTCACACTCTCAGAGGAGGTAGGTTTTGAGCCTGCTATCTGTTCCTAATAAGAGAGAATAAAAGTTTCTCTTTCCACTCCTTTACATTCTAACTAGGCAACTAGAGCGTATACTTTTACATTTCACACATCTGCCAACATTTATTCTAATTCTTGCCTCTGGAGCTGGTTATAGTTCTGGAGTTGTTCATAATCACAGATGGTAGTAGAAATAACAGGAGTCTCTTACCTCAGCTGAGTAGATTCCTAATAGGCCTGGTATAAAACATTCTGCTCAGCAAAACTTCGTAATAGTGCTACATACAGAAAGCGGCTGTTCGAGGGAGAGGTCATAGTCCTTACTCTGGCCATAGTGCCATTTTGTTCCCACCCACCAGTCTCCTTTAACAAAGATGTCTTAAGGAAAGGATGCAAATTCAAAGAAGCTCTCTTGAACAAACAGGATAACTTAAACAACTAGATGACCTCTGAACTTCATTGTACCTGCCTACTTTTACTGTCACTCAAATGTATTCTCCCTCACCATGTACATATGACCCATGACAAGGTACAGGGGTTCAAAGGTGGATAATAAGAACAGCTAGGAATAATTGGTACACCCAAAATTGTTGTGAATGAGGTCTAGCAATACTGTTTCACTTGCTTTGTTTGTTAAGTCACAGCATGAGCAAATCTATCAAGAAAAAGAACACCAAGCTACTCTCATCTATTAGGGCCATTTGTAAATATTCCGATTTTATCCAGATGAAGAAATGTTCTACATGTCAGTATTTTTATGTGTTTTTAGAATGAGTAGAATCATCTTTCAGCTTTTTACTACATCAGTTAAAAGATCCTTAGATTTATCCCTAGAGACCCCTCGATTTAGGTTATCTCTAGATTTAGTATATCCTTGCTGAAAAAAGAAGCCAGGCTTTACAGGTCAGATTTAAAGGAACTGTGTTAACGCTTATGCATTCTAACTATGCTATCATTGTCGACGTCACTCAGAATCAGCCACAACACTGGCACTTCAAAATGAAATACTGCAAAATAAAGAGGCCCATGACCCTCATGAGTATGAGAAATACAGCTAATTAAGAAGAAATTAAAAGAATAATATAGCTAATTAAGAAAAAAAAAGAAAAACTACACCTATTCCACAGAGCAGCCAAGGTAAGCTTGAAAAACCAGAAATCAGATAATGTGGTTTCCGATCATATTTAGAATAAATTTCAAATTTACAAAGCCTCACATCAGACCTACTTGCTTCTCTGACCCCACTGCGTAGCACCTTTTCCTTCTTTTCTACTCATTAGGTTATAATGCCATAAAACAGCACACACTTAGGAAGGCACGTTTTAGATGAGCCAAAAGGCAAGTCTGTGGCACATTATGACTAAACTAACCCACTTTATACTATCGGGGAAGAATTAGTAGATACCTTTAAAGACAGCTTGCCTCACACACAAATGCCTAACTATGTCATTCACAAATATTAACAAATATCCATTACAGAAAAAGCCAAGTATGTATCAGTGGTTTCTTTTAACATGTGGCCACCTGGGTCTGAAATAAATATTGTACTGTAGCTCAGCACCGGCACTATTTTACATATGTAATAATAACTGTCACACTGGAACCTCTTCTGAAATTATAAATGCATGTGTCCACTTTAATATGCAGTGCCTGTGAGGTTTATTCCAGAAAACCTCAAACTGACTTGGAAGTCTCTTACATTATTCACAATGGTAACTTAGCTACATGATTTCAGAAAGCAAATACTAAAAGTAAGTGTACCAAATACCACATGTAAGGTAACTGCCATTTACACTATCCCTTTCTGGGAAATTCTCAAAGCACATCCCTTTCTGAAAGGTTACTTTCATAGGGTCATGAAGAATCTTCAAGCTTGTTTACACAAACCCCTCCTTTCCTTCCCTCCCCTCCTCATTCTTGCCATAGCGAATTAAACTGCTGATGAATGCCTCACTAGGAGGCAGCAAAAATAGAGCTGCTGATGTCCCATGAAGTGGCCTGGTATAAACAGTATGTCCCCCTCCCCAAATATCCTATATTAGGATATTAGGTTGTAATCAACAGACTCAGTAAAATCTTCATATGAGCTCTGAATGTGAAACAAAGAAGGAGAAATAATCTAAGACAACCACAAGCAAGAGACATAGTCCTGAGTAAGCAGAAACCAGTCAGTCTTAGGAAAAGCAGAGTAGCTGAGGCTCCATTTTGACATAGCATTAGAAGAGGACCAGGTGTTGTTCATGGAGGTGCTGTGGTAACCAACTTCCCTGAGCTGCATTTTATCCTATTCAACACATCCTAATTCTCCTAGAGGTCTTCTGAAATGGTTTCCTGTTCTTAATCTCCTCATGGAGTTTTTCCATAAATCTCTATTACATGAGCATATCTCTACTTCTTAGCACATGATGCTCTCTGATTTCTCTGCTAAAGCTCTTCTTTTCCTCATCTTCCCCAACTCAGTATGACACAACATCCCTCCAGTTACGCAAGCCAAATATCTGGCAGGGTTTTTAAAAAACTTCTTATTATGGATATTTTCAAATATTAACAAAAGTAAAGAGAATGGCATCTATTACTCACCTTTTGAGAATGTCAACCTTTCAACAATCATGTTTTATCTATTTCATACCACACCCCAGATCAAATAAGTTATTATTGGTTTTTCACTTTCCTCTCATCCTTCATAACCAGCTCACTGGGAAGTCTTATCATTACCTCTGAAAATTATCCAGAATCCATCCATTAAACTAACCTACTTAATACTATCGGGGAAGATAGTATTTGTTAATATTTGTGAATGACATAGTTAGGCATTTGTGTGTGAGGCAAGCTGTCTTTAAAGGTATCTACTCATTTTCACTAATACCACCTTAATCAAAGCCACAATCATCTCTCAACTAAGCTACTGCAACAGCCTTGAAATTGGTCTCCCTGCTTCTACTTTTGCTCCCTACTTCAACCTATTCCAAAGAGCAGCCAAGGTGAGCTGTCAAAGCCAGAAATCAGGTAAGTGTGGTTTTCCATTGCATTTAGAATAAACACCAAATTCACAAAGTTTGACATCTGGCCTGCTTTCTTCTCTGCCCCATCTTGTAACAGTCTCAGTCCTGCTACATCACAGTGGCCTTTATGTTCCTTCAAACTCTCAAGCCCATTCCTGCCTTGAGATTTTCCATGAGCTGTCGCCCTGGCCTAGGATCCTCTCCGACTGATTTTCACGTTGTTGACTCCATGTTGCCTTTTAGATCTCAGCTGAACTGTCACATCCTCTGAAAAGACTTCCTTAACCACCCAACCTACAGCAGTCACTTGATAACTTGCTATCACACTACCATTTGAATTCTTTTTCATCCATCTTTCTTTTTTATGTCTCCCTCTCATAGAGTGTAAGCTCCTAGAAATAGGACTGTAAGAAGACCTATCTAATATTCATTCTTCTTTCTTAAAACAAAGTCCTGATTTTGTTCAGGTATCAACTCCCATGTTGCCATGAGCCTCAGGAGAAGCTGACCCTCTTATCCTCTAACTCCAAGGAATAATATGATTCAACAATGAATATCTCGTATCCCTTGCCAGTGATTAGTTCAGAAATGAGCATGTGGCCCAATCCTGGCCAAGAAGATATAAGGAAAAGTTTGCTACAGACATCTAAGAAAGTAGTTCCCCAATTCCTGAAAGAGTCATGAAAAGCCTGAATCTTTTTCTCCCTCTAACCATTAATGAAGAAACATGTCCGCACTACATCTGTGAGTGAAACAGGCATTAGGATGAAGCCAACACTGCATATACAAAGTAGACAGAAGGAAAGAACTTGACATATTTGAATTGCCTGATCAGCCAACCCAGGAGTCCATTCTGTCTTTGGACTTCCTTCTATGTAAGCAAATAAATTTTCTTCGTATTTAAGCCAATTAAAGTTAGATTTTTTTTTTTATTACTCATATGTGAAAATATACTAACATATATAGGAACTTTGTCTACTTTGTTCCTTGCTATACTCCCGGCACCTACAAAAAATGCCTAGAATATGGTAGGTACAGCAAATATTTGAGTGAAGAGTAAAAGAATGTAAAAGAATAATTTATGAAAGATAAAGAATCCTAAAACAATTATTCTCTATTTAGTCCAATGCTATGGTTTGAATGTGCCCCCAAAAAGCATGTGTTGAAAGTTTAATCCCCAACGCAACAGTGTTGGGAAGTGGGGCCTAATGAGAGGTAATTAGGTCATGAGAGCAGAGTGAATAGATTAAGGCCATTAATAAGGGAGCAGGTTCATTATTCTGGGAGCGAACTGGTTATAAAAAGAGGAGTTTGGCCCATGTTTTCTTCCCTCCCACCCTCCCCACCACCCTCTGGTCCTATCACCTTCACCGTATTATGATGCAGCAAGAAGGCTCTTGCCAGATACTGGCTGCTGATCCTGGACTTCCCAACGTCCAGAACTGTGAGCCAATTTCTGTTCATTATGAACTACCCAGTCTCAGGTATTTTGTTATAGCAACACAAAATGAACGAAGACACCCGCTTTAGCTACAATGTCATTAAGTTCCTTAAGAAGAAGTATCTAGTTAAGTACTATTAAGTAAGCACAAAAATGTTCTTGACATAGATTTTAAAATGTCAACCTGACACTGAAATATGTCACCATCATTACAAAAGGAAAATGCCACTATCAAAAAACATGCATACATTTATAAAGACTTACAGGTTCTTGGGGTTCGGTTTCTTCCCATGCTCCCCAACCATCATCTTCCCAGTCTGTTGATTTACCTGTTTTTAAAAAGATGAACAATGCCTGCATGAAATATAGGGCTTTAAGTATCTTTAAAGCATTTTTTCTAAACATCATAGAACCAACCTCTGTATAATGCTGATGTTCAGAAAGAAAATAATGGTAAAAACTGTGTTATACCAGGATTTTGCTATATGTAATAATAACAATCAGAAAATATTTGACCTACTGAATTTCTAAATTTATATATTAGTAAAATTGTGTGCAAGTTATTATTAAAATTGTGTGTGAGTTATCTGGATCTTAAGATATTGGACATCAAGTTGATCCATATTCAAATCAAACTGCAAAGATGACTTTTTAAAAATCTAAAAATGACAAATGTTTATTACTCAAGATATTAGACAAATATACACAGTGATGAAAAAAAACCACACCTAAAATTTCACACAGATGCCTTAAAAAAGTAACTTGTTTTTTGATAAGACAAATCTTTAGTGAAAAAGAAAACTGAATTTTGAAACAAGACAAACCTACTATTCTGCACCCTTTTCTGATATTCTTGATTTCTTATATGTTGGAACATCCTCTCAGAGGAAAATAAGATGGTCAACAACAATGCAACAAGGAACGTAAAAGCCCAGATAGGTTTGGACAGTTACGTTTCCTTACAAGGCCCAGGTGACTGGTTTTTACATAATCATCTTTTAATTTATCAGAAGAGAAAAAACTATCATTTTTGAACAACTACTCTGAGACAAGCATGAGATACTTTATATGCATTAATAAAGTACAAATAAAACTTTAGGCCCCAGAATCACACTGCCTAAGTTTTATTTGAACTTTATCATCTTTAAAAATTTAATTTGAGGCAATAAATATAAAGTTTGTTTTTTTGTGGTTTTTCTTGAGATGGAGTCTCACTCTGTTGCCCAGGCTGGAGTGCAGTGGCACGATCTTGGCTCACTGTAACCTCCACCTCCTGCGTTCAAGCTATTCTCCTGCCTCAGCCTCTGGAGTAGCTGGGACTATAGGTGCATGCCACCACACTCGGCTAATTTTTGTATTTTTTGTAGAGACAGAGTTTCACCATGTTGGCCAGGCTGGTCTCGAACTCCTGACCTCAAGTGATCTGCCCACCTTGGTCCCCCAAAGTGCTAGGATTACAGGCGTGGACCACCATGCTTGGCCTTGAGGTAATACATATAAAGTATTGAACGCTTGTTCAAATCCTGGATCTAGCACTTACTATCTCTGTGACATAGTGCAAATTACCCATCTAAACTTTAGTTTCTAATCAGAAAGGCATGGAAGACAAGAGTACCTATATCTAGTAGGGTTGTTGTAAGGACTTACACCAGATAGCATACTAAAGCCCTCAGTACCTGACACATACCACGTTCTCAATGCTGGTCAAGGTTTAGCTAAATCAAATATTATATTTAAGTAATCAGCTTTAAAATTCTGGGAGGAAATCAATTTAAAAGATGGGACTGATTCTGATGGCTTACAGTAGGAAGGAAGCAAATAGATTCACTTATATACAAGGTTTTAAAGGTTGCTGGAATCAATTACATACAGATGATTAAAGAGTTTGTTATAGTCTACCACTTAGAGTCATCGTTCAATTAGCTTTGTAGTAACAGTCTAATCTTCTGTACTTAAATGCCAAATAATTACTTCCTAATAGGCATATATTAAGTCCTAAAATAGCACTATCATTTGATTAACATTGCACAATTTATAGAAGAGTTCCGTATACAAGTCAATTAGCAATTTAACAAATACTCTATTAAACACCATGTGGCAAATCCTGTAGTAGGAGCTGAGAAAAATACAAGCGTACTCCTTGCCCTTGAAGAATTCATGATCTATTGCAGAAGGCAGACAAACATGGAATCATAATATATGGTGACTACAGTAATGGACCGCTATGGGAACTTGGATGAGAGAGTAAGTCCTTAAAAAGTAGCTAGAAAGGCTGGGGGGTAAAGTCAGCATGAGTGAAAGAGGCAGAAAGATGCAATGTATATGACAACTAACATGTATTAAACATTTCTGTATATCTAAATGCTTTATAGACATTATTAGTTCACTTAAACTTCACAGGATCCTTTATTGTCCCCATTTTACAAGGGGAAAACAGATTTCTTGGAGAGTTTAAGTAGTTTGACCAAAATCACACAGGAGTAAGTGGCAGAGTAAAGCTTGAGTTCAGGTCTATCTGAGTTCTAAAACCCATGCTTGTAAGTATTAGACTATATGTACCCCTACTATGGCTCATGAAGGGTAAGATTAGGGAAAAGTGGTGTTTATAGTTAAGGCCAAAAGTAAGAAGGTTCTTATTTTAAAACAGACACATTCCCTTGATATTGCGATTTAGAGATTTTTTTTAAACTTGGAAAATTACAGTTTGTCTTTTGGCAATTAAATTCAATTAAGCCAAATCTTTATTTTGCTAATTTTTCCACTGTACCAAAAACAATTGTCTTCTTGTGGGTTTAAGGCAGCCAACAAGGCTATCCCATTTAAAGTTTCAGAATATGTATTGTCTCATATGAGAAAGCAAAGTATCTAAAAGAGCTTATTACTATGAAGTTCATGATTCAATTTTTAAATTGCTATAAAAATAATGTATATATCAAATTACCACAATCTTGAAAAGACCACACAGAATTTAGACTCTTCAGGAAGGCTGCAATCACTCATGCATTCAACAAACCCAACATCTTTTATGTTTTGGGCACCGTGCTAAATGCTGGAAATATAAAAGCAAACAAACCTTCAAGGAGCTTAGTTTGTGCACATAACCTCTGCTGAATGTGTATAAAATAAAACTATAAAAAGTGTGTTATTTCTCCTCCATATTGGTATAAAAAGCACCTGACTCAATTCACAAATGACTCATATAAGCAAATAGAAGACAGCAGTAATTTGGATTTCCTACCCCTGCAGAGATCCAATATCTCCCTATGCCACAATTCAGAACCTCCAAGAAAAGAAAGACCTTGAGAAATACTTTATACAAGATATTTAGGTTTATGAAGGTTTACCCATTCTCAATGCCCCTGACTGGAAAGCTTCTTTCAACAAAAAGGAAGGAGAATTTAATTGGGCATCTTCTATTATCATAGGAATGCATTTTTCCCAACCAAGTCAAGGTAAACGAAGGTGAAACAGCACTATTATTCAGGTAAGTTAAAAGATATTTTTTGTAGGTTGCTCTAGAAGACTAAGTCTATTTATAATACTATGAGAGAATGCATTCCAAATTATAGTCAACTTAAAAAATGGGAAACGTTTTGCCAGTGAGGCAATACCCTTGTGGCTATTTCTTTTTATTTTTTATTTATTTATTTATCTATTTTGAGGCAGAGTCTCACTATATCACCAGGCTGGAGTGCAGTGGTGCCATCTCGGTTCACTGCAACCTCCAACTCCCTGGTTCCAGCGATTCTCCTGCCTCAGCCTCCCAAATAGCGGGGATTACAGACATGTGCCACCACACCCAGCAATTTTTGTATTTGTGGTAGAGACGGGGGTTTCACCATGTGGGCCAGGATGGTCTCAATCTCCTGACCTTGTAATTCGCCTGCCTTGGCCTCCCAAAGTGCTAGGATTACAGGCATGAGCCACCGTGCTCGGCCCCTTGTGGCTATTTCTACTCAGTGACAGTGATTTAATTTTTGTAGCCTCCTATGTCCTACTGAAAATCATTTGAGACTGTTTTGCAAGGAGCTAGTTGACAGCTATTTTCAGCTATTAAAAAGTGTTATAATCCCAGCACTTTACCAAAGTTATTTCTTATGCCTTCAGGTTATGCAAGCAGGTCAAGCACATTCTTTAGGGAAAAAAAAGGTATATATTGAGAAAATAGCTGATGACTGTCTAATAAAATTGCCATTCATGTAAAAAATTCTGTTCAGGCACAGTACTTGCTTCTGGTAACCTTTCTAAGGAGGATGGTATTCTTTAATCAATATCATTAGTATTCTTTAATTGATCATTGGTCAAGAATGTAGGTAGCCAAAGCAATGGTCAACATAAATTTGAGAACTATGCACTGTTTTAGGTTAATATGGAATATTACTGTAAGGCCTTGAGGTTCATAAACTCTATGTCATCGTGAAGAAATAAGACTGATTTGCCTTATTATCAATTACTTCCAAAAAAGGCTAAAAATGGCTCACCATGATTGTCTCTTAGAAGAATAAATAGATCAATATCTTTTGTAGGACAGAGTAATTTGAAAGCCCTAAGCTCTGGTATAACTTAAAAAGGCAAATCAGTTTAACAAAATGTACAATGGAATTAAGGACACCAGGATAGCCAGCTTCTTTAGGACAGTCTAGATCCAGTGTAAAGATTCTAAACATTCCACCAATCACCAAATCCCATAGCCAGAGCTATGTGGCCCTCATTTCTGTGAAAGGCTAGACTACAAATTATACGGCAACAATTTTTCAATTGTTACTTTCCCTATTTATTAAATAAGTAGCAACCACCCAGTCTCCAAAAAGCAATTCTTTAAACGACACTATTATCAACTGCCTATGTCTTTCATTTTACTGTAGTCCAATCCAACAAAATTGGTCAGAAAATTAAGAAAATAGCATTCACATTAATTGTCTTCATAAAACCAGCATTATAGTCTCTCTCGCAGATCCCTCTTGATAGGTAGGCCTTAAAACCTTTACAATGAAGAAATTAAAATAATGACTTAGGGGGTGACTAAAGTTTTAGAGATGGCCCTACTCTCAGAGATTCTGTTTCAGAAGGTCTGCAATGGATCCAGAAATCTCTTTTTTAACAACTTTCCCCACCCTGAAAATTTGAGGCAGATGGTGCACGCATGGATCACCTCAAGGATAAACCTAAGTGCTGGTCTAATTTAATCCTAAATATTGTTTTCCTTTGCCTGTCATCACTCTTCTATTCTTTCACTCCAGTTGGACTGTTCATTCACTGGTATGCAATCTTGAACAGCGCTGTCTAATAGAAATATATCACAAGCTACCTATGTAATTTTAAATTAACT